CATGTGTGCTGGAGGAGCCAGGAATCAAACCAACAACCTTCCGATTAGTGGACGACCCGCTCTGCCTCTGAGCCACAACCGACTGTACTGCCCGCCAGGTGAACAACCATAGGTATGTTTTCATTAGTGTATAATCAACCTGAAAATAAGAGTCCACTATGTTTCTACAACAGCCCAGAATGCACAAATCAAACACTGGTTCTAGATAGATCCTTTGTTTTTTTTTCACTGGTTTTACAGCCACTGTAGTTTCTCCTACATGCTTGGAAGGTGAGTAGTATTCAGTTGGTGGTGGTTTGATGTCAAATGTTAATAATTTAGATTTATTATATAACGTGTTATAAAAGGAAATTATAGAGAAGGTAGAAGATAATAATCTGTTATGGCCTCATTTTAGACTAATGATACTCTAATGCAATCATAGTTATGCATTATATTCCATTTCTGCCAATAGACCCCCCCCATTAATGTTACACACCAGACATTTACGGGCGGATCTAGAGGGGTTAGCATGGGGTGGCTGCTAACACCTGAGTTTAGTGTCATTCATTTAATTTATATTTATCTAACTGCCTTTTATCCAAATTGCAAGAGACAAGGAAGACTGAGTTCTCATTTTCATCTTCTGTTAATGAGAAAATGCAGGATGATTCAATAAAATGTATTAAAATGAATTAACAATGTGGGTGTCATCAAAATAAAAACACAATAAAAACAACAGTCATAAAGCAAGAGATACACACGATGGATACTCTACTCAGCTCAAGATTAAAAAACGATAATAAATTCTGTCCTGTTTCTGGAGGGGATGTGATCCAACAGTAGAAAGTAATCAAATTACCTCACTGACCTTCAGTACTCTGGAAGACGTGTTATTAATTAAGCAATCATTCACACACAGGGGACTCTGTTGTGATTGAACTGAACCGAAGAGCAGGGTCATTTACTGGTGAGGTCAGAGAAAAATCCAATATGTCAGCGACGTATCAGCGGAGGTGATTAATGACTGTGGAAGGTCATCAGGTAAATCCCCTGGTTCAAGTCCACATGAGGACGAGGCTGGAATGATACTGATGATCAGGTTTGTGTCAAGGGGGCATTGTCAAGTCACGTAAATCTGCTTGTGCAGCAGAATATCTGCTAAGAAACATTTCTTTATTCTCACGAGATGTTGTTACGCACATTTTTTTAGCTTTTCTAGGCTCTGGGAAACTTTTACAAATATTGAATCTTGGTGAATGGTTTAAAATTCGGTGTCATGTCAACAGCTTTAGGTTGTCACTTTTATAATGGTGGTCTATGAGGAAAGTGCTTTAAAAAGTAGTGGTTTGAAAATTAGATGACTTTTGGCTACATAGAGGGATGACCATCAAAGCTCTGCTAGAAGATAAGGAAAAACTCCTCACCACAAACCCCCAAAAACTACTATTACTTTAGCTATTAGCTTTGAAATAAGGAATAATTCACCACAGAAACAAACAACAACAACAAAAACTGGTAGGAATTCAGTCAGTTCATTTAGTAGGAAGTCAACTAGCTCCTGTTAGCTAGGAGAAAAGTAAAAAAACGAAACAAAACTACACATAGGTTAAACAAAATCGTCGTATAACAATGTGGCTGTTATAGCAAGAAGTAAGAACAAGATAACTGAGAAGCTATCGCTGGTGCTTTAAAGCCAAGTTAAATTATGTCACACCATCTAAAGAAGTACCAACCTTTCTGCCATGAGCCAATGTCTCTAACCTGAGACTAACTAACTTTACACTAGCTGAAAACTGTGTTTCCAATGACCTCTTGTAAGGCATTTATCATGTTTCTTCTCTCATTCATTCAGGTTTTTACTTTAATTTGTCACTAGTCAATCTTCTGCAGGCCCTCCTGCTTGCAAATGACCCCACAGCACGATGCTGCCACCACCAAGCTGGGTTGGTACTGCGCAGGTGATGAGCCATGCTTGGTTTCCTCCAGATATGATGCTTATAAATGAGGCCAAACTGTTAAATTGTTGGATTCATCAGAAAAAGGAATCTAGTTTCTCACAGTCTGAGAGTTTTTTATGTGTCTTTCATTAGAGAGAGGCTTCTGTCGGGTTACTTGCAAGTGATAGTTGTTCTTCTGGAAGTTTCTCCCGTCTCCACACAGGGTCTCTGAAGCTCAGCCAGAGTGATTATAAGAGTATTATATACTCTTATATACTGACTGCTCAGTTTGGATGTTCAGCTCTAGGAAAAGTTCTAGTTGTTCCGAACTTCTTCCATTTAAGGATTATGGAGGCCACTGTGCTCTTAGGAACCTCCAGAATTTGTTGTTTTATATCCTCCCCCAGATCTGTGCTCGTCTCTGAGCTCTGCAGGAAGTTCCTTCAACTTCATGGCTTGGGTTTTGCTCCGATATGCATTTTCAGCTATAAGACCTTATAAAGACAGGTGTGTTCCATGTCCAATCAACTGAACTTACCACAGGTGATCTACAATCCTGTTTTCGCGTTGTCATTATGGTGGTATTGAGTGTAGACTGATGACGGAAAAATTAATTTAAACGATTTTAGCTGCAACATATCAAAATGTGAAAAGAGTAAAGGGGTCTGAGTGCGGAATCTGTGCCAACCAACAAGTAGTGACTGTGTGTTGACCTTGCTCTTGGTGAACAGCGAAAAACAGCAACAGCAGAGCCAGAGACCAGTGCAGCAGGGTTTGCCTTAAGGTTGTGTGACGAATGACCACAGAGGATTAAAAATATCTGATCACTGGAGACTAAACAGACCTCTGCAGGAGTAGTTGCTCTTTGGGAAGAACCAGATCCCAAATACAAAAAACAAAAGAACGCACATAAAAGAGACAGACTGTGACTTCTGTCAGACTAGGACATGAAGTATACGATGACTGTGCTTTGGCAACACGTCAGAACGTATGCTCGGAGAAAAGAGAGGCACTGGGTTCATTCTCTCACAAATCAAGTTAGCTTTGTAGAATGGAAACAGGAAATCAAAATGTATTCATTTCAAATCCTGCTAAATCACTTTCTCATCCTCTATTACATATATAAACACACTGAATAGATTACTTTTTTGTGGCTTTAGCCTTTCAGCCTATGCTGACTCAACTGTATGTCATACAGTTTGTTTAAAATGTATTTAAACTGTGAAACTGTAAAAATCCCATTTCCTATAAGCCTTTGTCACCAGATCAGCTAAATAAGTGAGTCCATGTCTTTAATAACAGCAGGACACAGGGCTGAACGGCATAGAGGCTTTTTCAGTTATGAAAGAAACCAAAATATGATGGTGCAAGTACATTCTGCTGCACTATTACACAACATAAATTAGTTGTTGTTTTGAAGATTTTGAATTCTAAATCATAAATGCTCATTTATCTAAAAACATGGACCCAACACATTTCATATTTTAGAAAGGCTGATAATTTTCGTGATAGATTGCAGAGTTAGAGACACTAATGATAAAGTTAATGATGGCTGAATTCCATTTAGCTGCTTCAGTCACAGGGTCCAGATATTATTAATGATGGCTCACTGTCACGGCTTACTGGGACACCTGAATGGAACAGGGCCATCATTAATATTATTAGTTATACCTCAAAATTAAAAAATGACCTCTGTATTTAATGATTTTAAAAGGTCTCCCAATGATCTGTAATTAAATAAAAAAATTATTCTATTAAGAACCTGTTACAATAAACATGTTATTATGCATTTTATAATAATGAACTACGTTTTAATAAAGTACTGAATGGTTTCACAATTTGTTCATTTACATATTTTGCTGCATTTTTTCATACCACTGTTTGTTTTATAATGTAGTTAATTAAAACTGGCCATTTGAGAGTTCAACATGTGTAAAGTTTTAGCAAATCATCCAGACTTCCTCTTGTCTTAATCTATTATTAGATACTGAATGAATCATGCAAACTAAACTTAAAACACAAGACAAAATAAACCACTGCCATTTACTCTGAAGTGTAGAAATAACTCGACCTGAAAACAACGGTGGAAAAGAAGAATATTTACTATGAGAGAGGAAAATAAAATAAAGAAATTAGAGAAGAATAAACAGAAACAGTCTTGCGATGATCTGATGAGCACCCAGAGGAACGAGGGGCCGTTTAATCTCCCATTACCCGAGTTTCACCATAAAAGTAGTGGAACATTGTTACATACTGGTGTGGTACCACCAAGCACCATATAAGAACATGTCTCCAGATCCTGCTGTAAACAGTGGAAATGTGCAAAAGCGTGCAGACGGTGTTTATAGCTCATGCTTACAAACAGAATAGGCTGCAAAATTTACAACCTGGCTGGAAGAGTTTACACTGGCTAAGAATATGAAGGACTTCATGAAGTCCCCATTATGATATTTTGTTTACTGGATATAAACCAAATATTGATAGAAAAGGTTGGGTGAAATCTATTAAAATGATGTAGAGTAGATACTTTCTGCAGAGAGTGAAATTTCTCCCTAATGTTATTATAGTTTTCAGAGGAGTCAACTTTTCCAAAATGAGAAATTATTAGTGCCACATGTGCGGATCATGCAGGCGCCCGGCCTGAAGGGACACAAGTGATGGATAATAGTTACAAACACTTAAAGAGAAAGTGATTGTGTTTGAAAATGCACAACAGTGGCGTTACTTTCCACATCACTCTTGCACAAAGTATTCACTTTCAAAACAAGCACTGCACAGGCTCTGAAAGATGAGAACCATAATGCAGGGATCAAAATCTGCCCTGAGGTCTTTTTGGCTCTCACTGTCTTCTCATTAGATGAGACATTAGCAAACAAATGCTGTGTTCTCCAGGGGATAGAGATTACAGTCAGACAGCCCTGGACAAATATCCATCAATTGAGCAGCAACTGCCGCTCCACCCCTGTTACAAACTGACTTAGAAACAGCACGTTCTGAATGGAAGCAGCACAATAGTGTGACTATGTAAATGTTTGAAATGTTTAAAGCAAACTCTAAAACTAAAGAGAGAGATCTGCTTACAGGCAAAGCACAGCAGACACAGATTGAAGAACACTTCATGTCTTTACTCCCTGGTGGTTTGTTATCACTAATGCAAGGATACTCGTTCCGACGTGGGAGTTCTGCCCTGAGCTCAGTGCAGATCCGGGAACAGGGACTCTGGTAGCTCTTGGACTTTTCCATATATAGAACTAGCCTGTTTTGAACCACTATGCACATTAAACAGCAATCACCCTGAGGATGGTTTGCGTCAACATTAGTGTCCTCTCTGTGCTAACATGACAGATAGATGAGGTGTACTTTAAATTACTTTATTCCTAGAACCATAAATCCATAGAAAATATTGTTTTGTAAGTCCACCAACATCACAGCTATATATATATATATGAGATTTAACACATTAATGTAGCAACAAACAAGTATTTGCTATGTAAAGATTTAGTGGAGTAATAGCATCCTGAGCAGAGAATGATGTTACACTCTGCCCTTTGCCTGTGTTGCTATCGCAGCCCATCTGTGGTTTGTTTACAAAGTCAGTTTGGTTGAACGTGCATGTTAGTGCATGTGAGTCCCTCTGTTTCCAACTGACGAGAGCGACTGAATCTTCTACATCGGTGGATTAAGGATTTATTTTGACTAAACAAGAGTTGGTGACTGTGGGAACAGTGAAAAGACTAACAGAGACGATTATACCATTATATTCTAAGTAAAACTAAAAACGCTTTTGTCTATGGAGTCTGGTGGCGAGCGATAGCGATATCACGGCTAATTGGTCTAAGAAGCTGCTGCTCTAGTGCGACATCCAGTCACAAGAGAATTTTGTATATATAACCTTTAAGGTTTTCCACTGGGACAATGAATGGCATTGACTTCAACCACACAACATGGTGCAACATACATCAGAACCAAGCCCTACTGCTCGTTAGCCTACACTGTTTCTTTTCATTATTTTCTTGACAAATAAATTATAGCTTCCGTCTCTCGTAGAAAGGAAACTGGCAAGTGGGGTGTCATTATCATCACGGCTGTCTAAACACTGGAAAAACAAGCAAACAAGAGAATTTTTTAGGTTCACAGCTTCTAGATATTCAACCCCCTGTGAATTTGTGTAGTGGGAATTTACTACATCAACAAAAAAAGGCTGCATTTATTGGGTTTTATTTCCTTTTTCTGTTTTTTAAAAGTCCAAGAAATGGTGAACACTTCCAAACAACAGTCCCTCTACTGCCATAAAAGTTGTAGTCATTCTAGTTTCCTGCACAAAACGTTGAGCCATACTTCCCCAAACTTAGGCAAAACTCTCACGTTTACCCTGTCCAAACACTGCGATTTCATTCTCACCGGAACAAAATGTCTTTGGTTTTTGCAATTTTCACTTTCTCCGGCAATTTCATTGCAAAAAAACTGCCTGAGACATTACAACACGCATTGCAATTTTTTTTAGAAAAGCTGTCGTGAAATCAGGCTTTTAAGCCTGCGAAATCCTGGAGGCGCTGAATACATGTTCATACTCTTTTTATAGTGCACGCTGACAGAGACGGAAGAAGAAGAAAAACAGTCTGAACACTATTTTTAAAAGCTTTGATCTGGGTTACAGTATGATGACTATCAAAGACTCAATAACACCACATAAGAATAACTAAAATCTGCAGTCGAGTATAAAACATACAAATAAACTTAGTTCAATTTGTTTGTTGTATGTCAGAAAACTCCCCATCCACAATGCATTTCTCAACTTAACAAATAACACACCCCCAAAAAATCCATTAAGACAGAACCACCTGTTCAAGATTTTACTGCTGTAAAAATACTACTGAAGACATTTCAGAAGTGTATAGTGCACCCTTATGGGCAGTATTTGAACAGTGAGGTTCAATGTTGTGCAAAAGGGCTTGTTAGGGCTTCAAACGTCTCTGCACCACAGGGACACCGACATTCATACACACACACACACACACACACACACACACACACGATGAGTAATGACCCAGCAGATACTGGCGGCTGCAGGCGAATAAAATCACTGTCAAGGTCATGAAATGTAAAAGAGAACAAACTCATCCAAGAGCCAGATATCTTCTCTGACCCGGTGAGTTAAACAATATCGATAAATTACAGACATCTGCGATCAGAGCTGTTCCTGATTAATTAGCATTTGTGCAGCTCTGTCTGAATGATGTCTCATTGTGCTTATTGTCGGGCAAAGGTACCAATTCAAATTCCAACCATATCTGACACCTGGAGGGAACAACCAGTGGAAGCAACAATGCTTTGTCACTTCAGATTTCATCCAATCAGA